TCTGTGTTTCGAGCTAAATACTTGGGCCCATATGAAGTCAAAGAAAAGCTCAGTGACATGAATTGTCATTCACACTCCTAACCGCTGCTGGCCAAATGGGTGCCCTAAGCAGAATTGTATTGTTGTGCCCCCTCCTACTATAGAGGTCAAAACAGAACTTTAATAAAATATAAAAGTAAATAAATAAATTGTAATTATATTGTATTATTTACAAATTACAATTGTAGCACTAGACAGTTACCTATGGCTATTATTTTATTAATACAGTTGTCTGATTGATTTTAGTCTCAAGCATTCACAAATCACGCAAAAGAAAATGTAGTTTTACTACGATAAAACCCTGGTTAATTTTTTGTAAGGGTTGTGATGTCCACATGTTTTTGTTGAAGAAATTGAGGCTGTCGTATTTCTTTTGCAAAAAGGTGGCCAAAAATTAAAGATTAAGTGGATATTTGAATTAAATGTTTGGTCAATATTAAAGGACGTGATCGTCCAGTAAGTGTAACAGCAGCAGTTACCAGGCCTTTGGCTCCCTTTGCAAGCATTTGTAATATGTAATGTACATAAATTGTTTACTTTGTATTACAATGTATTTTAACAGTTATTCAATGAAACCACTTAATTAACCAATCATTATTGCCTCATTGTTTTATATAATGCATTTTAAGTAATTTTAAAGGCTGTTGTTGGCTTAGGTCTGATTTTATAACCACAAAAAATATTATCTTAATACTTCTTTGTAAACTACGAAGTAACAAAATCATGGTTAATTTGTGGTTACCATCCATGGCTACAAGAACCATGATTTTTGGTTTTATTCATAAAACCATAGCTAATTTTTGTAAGGGAACATGGAAAGTCAGAGAGAATATTAGAATATTAGAACACATTAAAACACGTTATTAACGTCAACATCCCAAAAAGTTTCACAGGATTATGAATGTAGGCCTGAAAGTGATACACGGGATTCATCTTTTTTCTTTTTTCGGTGCCGGATTGATGATGTCTTTTCACGGCATAGTTGTCCATCAATTATGATCATTTGCATTCAGCCACAAACATGCGATGCGAGCCCGGGAGTTGGTGCCCTACGCAAACTGCGTACTCTGCATATAGGAAGCGGTGGTACTGGACCACAACATAGTGCTCATTTAAAAGCAGGGCACGGAAGACGTAGGATCCACAGCTAGATGAATTAGTATAGAAGAAGCCCTATGATTACGACGACCACCATTTGAAGTTTCACAAAATTCAGAAATTATCATACATTATGGGATTTTTTTCATTATTGATCGTACATCGTACAGAGGTCTAAATTATCGTACAAATACGATAATTATCATACGTCTGGCAACACTGCTATAGAATAAACCATAGAAAGCGTGACATAATGAGATCTGAGGTTGAGTACATGCTGCAGCATGGGCTAGCAGTGCCTAGTCAGAGTCCATGGAGTTCGCCCTGTTTATTAGTGCGTAAATCCGACGGCTCCTATTGTTTCTGTACTGACTATCGTAAAGTTAACTCAACGAAACCTAACTCCTTTCCACTGCCTCGGTTGGAAGACTGTGTTGACAGAGTAGGCTCTGCCAGATATGTCACAAATTAGACCTGTTGAAGGGTTATTGGCAAGTGCCCCTAACTCTACGTGCATCTGAGATTTCCGCGTTTGTCACTCCTGAACACTTCCTACAATATCAGGTTTTAGCTTCCGGCATGCGAAATGCACCTGCTACCTTCCAGCGCCTTATGCAGGTGGTCTTGACAGGAGTGCTGAATTGCAACGCGTACCTAGATGTAGTCCTCTATTCAAAAACCTGGGAAGATCATGTAAAAACTTTGGAGTTAGCAAAAAGTTCAGTCACCTTGCTGCTGCCTCCCTAACCTTGAATCTTGCCAAATGTGAGATAGGTAAAGCTGTGGTAACTTATCTGTGAAAACAAGTTGGCCAGGGTTGTGTCAAGCCAGTTGAGGCTAAGGTTGCTGCCATACTTGAGTTTCCTACACCCAGTAACAAACGTGAGCTACGCCAATTTTTAGGTATGAATGGGTACTACCAGGGTTTCTGCTGTAATTTCTCCACTGTTGTGTCACCTCTTCCCGACCTTCTCAGTACTACCAAGAGTTTTAAGTGGAGCACCAAGTGTGATAATGCTTTTTAAGGCCGCAAAAGATCTCATTTGCCATGCACCAGTGTTGTCTGCCCCTAATTTTGACCTGCCTTTCAAACTCCAAATAGATGCCGGTGCTGGAGCAGTCCTGCTGCAGGAGGACTCCCGTGGAATTGACCACCCCATCTGCTACTTCTCCAAGAAGTTCTCGAAATGCCAACAACGCTACAGTACGATTGAGAAGGAGGCCCTCGCCTTGCTGTTAGCTCATCAGCATTTTGAGGTTTACTTAGGAAGTAGTGCCATGCCTATCGATGTGTACACTGACCATAACCCATTGATCTTTCTCTCCCACATGTCCAACTCCAATCAACGTTTGATGCGCTGGGCCCTAAATGTCCAGGGGCCTCATTTATCAACAGTGCGTACGCACAGATGTGTGCGTAAGAACAGTTTCATGCAAAGTGTGGGATCTACCAACTTGTACTTATACGTAGAAATGTGTGTAAATATGAACTCACCTCTGAGCATGCTTACGCAGAGAATCTAGTGGTAGAATAGCGACACTAGCGAATAGTGTCACAGTATGCATTAAGCAATCCACATAGGCTATGTCCTGTGTTTCCTTTAATTATAAAACATTCAATTTATCATTATAGACAAGTTGTGTAACTGGTGTCAAACCCTATAAAAGACAGCTGTGACAAATGTTTGTCTCAGACTGTGCAATGGCTTATCTTGCGTTATTTGAAAACTTGACAAACAATGGGCTCTGCAGAGAACGCATTTTCAAAGACCGCGCTGAGAGTGAGAGCACAGAACGGCTTCTCAGTCGACACCGCTTTCTTTGCCATGATTTCGGTGAGGACACATACATTCACGTGATTTATAAAAGGAGGTGTTGTCACCATATATGGTTCATTGGAGGCATTTCCGAATGCAAATGACCGTGAACGTGAACGAGCATGGTACTTATGTGGGATTTATCAACAATGATTGCTTACTCATGTGCGTAAGAACTGCATGCGCACGTTTGGAATATGGATTTTATTGTACTTAGGCACATTCTAAATTTCATTCATAGGACAAAATATAGAACCTTTTCTACGCACTGTTGATAAATGAAGGCCCAGGAGTAGGCTGTAACCTTAATCTCCAGCACATCCGTGGTAAAGACAATGTGGTGGCGGATGCGCTCTCTAGGACTGCAGATGTGGAGACTTAAGTGGGTTGGTTAAAACAAAAAGAAATGTATGGCTGACTTGCACTACTATTGGAGTTCTATGAGTAGTTACAGGGGCTGTTTACACCTGGTCACTTCATGCGTTTTGTCTGATCGGATAGCTATCCTGATCGGATATCTATCTGATTTGTTAAAACATTTCCATTTACACTTGGCCACATAAATGTGTCGTCGCAAAACGGATATATAAATCTGATCTTCAATTCCCGCGCTATATTTAAAGACCGCAATAGGAGAGCGCACGGCATCAGCACTGGAAAGATAATTTTGTCTTACTACTTTTAATGAAGATAATTGTGTGTTGACCATCTGCGTCTTACTTTCAGTTTCATTCGCGGCAGCTTGCTGAAGAGATACTCAGCTACTCGTCCGCAGCGATGCTTGTTGCATTAGCGCAGTCTGACTAATGTCATAGTCTATAACATGCTCTCACACGTTTATTATTTTAACATTTTGAGTGGCGTAAAATTTACATATGTGGTTTCAACAACCAGATGCATTTACAATTGTCCAGTTTGTCTGGAATGCGGCCCAGACCACCTCCTGAAGTGGTTTGAGCGATCGGATTTATATCAGTCTCGAATGCGTTTCGGAGGGCATTTACACCTGGTCTTTTCACGATCGGATAGCTATTCGATCAGAAAAAACGCATGAAGTGACCAGGTGTAAACAGGCACTTACAATCCGTGGGTTGTAAAATTTAATGATGGTGGGGGTGTTATGTCCTGAGATGCATTTTATTTGTGATTTGTTCTATGTGCTTTGTAGGGCTTTTTTTATTTTTTCCCCCTATGTCTACTGCTACCATTCTCATGTAGGTGATTGGGTTCACCTGTTGCTGATTTGCTGCCCATTCACCTCAGCTCCACTGATTGGCTGCAGCCAGGAAAAAGCCAGCATATAAAGCCAGCACTGCCTCACAACAAGCTGAGAGATTATTATTATTATTTATTTATTTATTTTTTTGATAATGTAAAATGCATTCATTGAGATATAATCCATGCTGCATACTCCGATACAGTAGGTGGCGGTATGCACCTGATAAGTCATGGTTGCAATCTGCCATAAAACTAACAAGTAGAACAAGCTGAGAGGGAGAGGGTTGCAGACTGTAACTTGCTACATGGACTTCTTTTCTCTTGCCCCAGATAACTCCACTGTTTTCTGTTATTGACAAGTGCTAACCATTGATGCCATTGGGAATGTAGTTGAAGACCTATATATTTTTGTGCAGAATTTAAAATGTTCTTTTAAGGAAACCTGTAGGGAGGTGGGTGCCTTTTTTTTTTTTATTGCTTTTCTCCTGGTTCTGTGTAGTCAGGGAGATAGGCAAGTTCTTCTGTTATTTATTTTCATTTTTATGTATAGGTAAGTTATGGTTAAACCAGAGTTAGAAACTGTTTATTGTGTTGGCCTTTGCCCCCTCCTGAAGCTTATGTTTTTCCCTTCATCTTTTTCTTTTGATTCAATAAATACATAAGCTCATTTGTTCTGAATGTGTGTTACTGGGGCTGGAGACAAGAAGTTCCTGTGCTCTCTCTCTCTCCAAAATTTGTTACTGCTATGTCATTACCCCTAGACTAAAAAAAGGCTAGCACGTAACAATATACATGTATTAGACTTTAGAAACACTCAGATATACATACACATGTATGTGTGTTCTCCATGACCCTCGAGAACAACTTCATAAATCTGTTCAGACTGATACAAAGGTGGCTGAACTGGAGGTGACTGATCATCTGTCTGGAGTCCTGGGGCTGGAGTAGCCGGTGCAGGACCTTCTGACTGAGGCATGGGATTTGGAAGGTCATTTTGGGCTGTACAACCTAGTTTAAGACAATTTAATAAAGAGAAAGACTGGATCAGGATCAGGCTGATTCAAGGCAAGCTGAACTGGAGGTGGTTTATTCTCTGACTGAAGTTCTGTGGCTGGAGGATCTGGCGCAGGACTTTCTGGTTGAGGCATGAGATTTGGATGTTGGTTTTCAGATGGTTTTGGTGAACAGTCTAGTTTCAGACAATTTACGATAAAACTGTCACTCTGGTTTCGATTTTCTTGTGGTCACAGATCACAGACATCCATCTTTACAATCTACACTGTACAATTGTAGATTGTACTGTGTAGAATGTGAAAGAGAAGCCAAAATGGGTGGTAAGATTTTCAGTGAACAACCACCTAAATTTGGTCTGTTCATCCAACAAAGCTGCCATATGGCCTACATTTAGGATCAATGCCTTTTCTGATCAATGTGGAACTTGTTGGATAAAAGGTGATATATACCTATTCAGTGACTAATTTATATAGCAAAGAAAACAAGAAAAAAAGAAAGCTTAAGACACAGACAGAAGAAAACATACTCATAACATGTTGGAAACATTCTACAGAATGTGGTCAAACATGTCATTGTGCATTCCATTCCTCCACATTCTTGATCTAAATTTTTTCATTGACAAAATGATCTTGGGCATTCAAATAAAGCAAATCGGTATACAAGATAAATCACCTAATAGTAGGGTATGTATCACCTAGAAAAAGAGTAAAACTGACTTTTAACAGAATAAATAAAGATCATTTAAATTATTACTATTATATTTAAACTAATAAAACTTCAGTACCTGGTTCTGACATGTTGAAGACCTTTGTTGGAGCAGTACATGCCTATGGTGACAGAGGAAAAATATGATGAATTAATGAAGTTTATTAAAGTTGCACACAAAAATGTGTGTCCAAATGAAGTCAGAAATAGAAGTAGCATGATCCAACAACTACAAAGACCAAAGGTAAATTATCACTTACATATCTAAACTCTGAACGAAATCTTACCTCTTGGGATGCTCCACAAATGAAATGCTCTGTAGAGAACTTGGTGTTAGAATGATTGTTCGGATTAAGGATATTTTGAGATTTTCTGCGGATTGCAGATGCCTGTGTTTGTGGTGTTATCTCTAACATGTATTTGCAGTTTCTGTTTTGATAGTATCTCCTCCCCTTTTCTTATGTATTTAAATGAACGACCCGACAAGGGTGTACCACTTTTTTAAAACTCCTTTTGCCTCACACTACCTAGCAGATCAAATGTGACCCAAGATATTTTAACAAAATACCTACAAAGCACCACAAAATGTATCTGTCTGTCATTGCATTCTGTCACTATTTTTGTAATTTAGTATGTAAGGTTATATAAAGAGTTGCTGTAAAATCTTGATCTGATCTAATCTTATTTTGGTCAAATTGGATACCCAAAAAATGGCTTAACGATTTTTCTAATTGCTCCTTTATTTGTGATAATTCTGTGAAATATGAACCCGGTAAAGCAGTTGTAATGTTGGCAAACAGGTTGTACAGAAACAAGTGCATCTTGTTGACATCACTCTGTTAGTTATATTATTTGTAGGGTCCTGTGTTTGTGAATTGCTCTTGTGTACTCACTCTTTTTTTAATTGTATATATATATATATAGCCAGAGTCATTAACTTGCATGTAACCCCCATCATCATGCATTACTTGGCTGTAGGAACATCCGTATGTTTTAACTAAAATGCTTTGCATTTAGCACAATAAAACTGAATTTCCTTCAGAAAGACTGAAAAAATATATTTATGCATGAAATAAGTCTGGAAATACATGCGTAGGGATGCATGTTACATTTTATTTCCAACAAAAAAGAAAAATTTAAAGTAACAAAAAGATATAAATGTTAGTTGATATACTATTGTAACAGTAATTTATAATTATAGGCTCTGATTGTTTAAAAGGCACCAGTGAACAGTTACTCATGATACCTCGCCTGTCATTGTCAATATTGCTGGCCACCTGAACCCTACAAAACGACCTTGAACGTGTCCCTTGGTTTCACTGCAGTGCCAGCTGTCTATAGCTTTGGTTACCTAAGAAAATGCAGGAAATAAAAGTCCAGACTCAGACGTCGTCCACAAAATGTGAGAATTTCATCAGTTTAAAAAAAGACTTGAAAGATAATGAGTTCATTAAAAATGTTACTTAAAAAGTAACTTACCAAGAGTTCTAAGAGAATACAGTATTGCGCTGGTTTGTCTCTCCCACTTTTTCAAAGAACACGAAATCCTATGAAAAGAAAAAGAGAACAAAAGATCAAAGAGTCCGAACAGAATCTAGTAGGGAAGAATATGCTCTGATTTCTGGTCTATTACAATATTTGATAACATTTTATTTCGACACTTTAGACATTCTACTAACCAGTAACAACTTTGCAACTTCATTTCAACTACCAGTCATTAGCGTATTAGCAGACTGTCTGCTTTATTTATGATTCATACATCATCTGCATTTATTATGAATTAATAAGCTTTCCATTGATGTATGGTTTGTTAGGATAGGACAATATTTTGCAGAGATGCAACTATTTGAAAATCTGGAAGCTGAGGGTGCAAAAAAAAAAATCTAAATATTGAGAAAATTGCCTTTAAAGTTGTCCAAATGAAGTCCTTAGCATTGCATATTACTAATCAAAAATAAACTTTTGATACATTTACGGTAGGAAATTTACAAAGTATCTTCATGGAATATGATCTTTATTAATAACCTAAAGATTTTTGCCATAAAAGAAAAATAGATCATTTTGACCAATACAATGTATTGTTGGCTATTGCTACAAATATAGCCGTGCTACTTATGACTGCTTTTGTGGTCCAGGGTCACATATATCAATACTGGAAAAAGAGAAAGTAGCTCAGTAGTAGAAAGCTAGCTTCACATTCATATCCAGGAGAGAATTTATGAATTGTGGTTGCATAATGGTTAGAGATCTGTGGTACTGCAATGCCCTCCAAGGTATTATGAAGCATTCAGACTATTGCGGATCATTAAATATGTTATTAGCTTAATACTCACAATAAGGAAGCAAACGCCCATAAGTACAGCCTTCATCTTAACATCCATGTCCATAGGGAACTGGATGCCAAAGTTGTCAGTGTCAGTAAAGACTTCCTTCAACAGGCCGCTCCACTGCTTACTGATTCGACCGATAGGCTTCCCAGTACCGTCTTTGCCTTTGAGCTAAAGAGAGAAATGCAAATTTATGGTTAGAAACACAAACCTGCCAATTTCAGAATGATTTTGCTTGGTGTCACTATAAAGTTCATCTTCGAATTTGTATATTAACAAGGCAACAACATGTCAACAACAATCCAATTCTAAAAAGTTACCTCAAAGTTCACATCACCACAGCAGTTACATGCCAAGCAGGGCCCCTCGAGCTTCATCACAGTCTCCTTGTTTGGCCCCTGGATGGAGAATTTTGGATAACAGGGGTGCCAGTCCTGCTTCACGTACCCTACAGTCGTTCCCGGGGGCGCCTGTACCTCCATCTGAAGGTGAAATATTGCCATTTATAGTCATAACAAATTAGAAATGTACAGCAATGCCCAAATTGATTTCTAAGCTAGCAGCTATGGGTGCATTCATACACTAATGTTCAAGAGGAATAAAATTACTGTTCAATGGAATAAATTTAAATATAATTTATTCTTGTGATGGCAAAGCTGAATTTCCAGCAGCCATTACTCCAGTTTTCAATGTGACACAATCCTTCAGAAATCATTCCAATATATGATTTGGTGCTCAAGAAACATTTCTTCTTATTATTAATGTTGTGTAAACAGTTGTGCTGCTTAAAGTTTTTTGAATGTTTTTTTTTTATGCATGGAAAGTTTAAAAGAACAGCATTTATGGTAACACTTTACTTAAAGCCTTTATGTATATTGCATAAAAAAAAGTAGTTTTAATGCATTATGACTTGTAATTCACCTTATAATGCATTGTACAATCTCATCAATAATTGTAACCACAGTTAATACATTATAAAACTTATCAATTCATTGTTACACTGTGCATCTTAAATTCAGTTATAATTTACGACAAGATATGATGTATTACAACGCACATTATGAATAATTATAATGCATTATACCCTTTAATAACCCTTTATGATGCATTACACAAAGGCTTTAAGTTAAGTGTTACTGCATTTATTTAAAATAGAAATCTTGTTACATTATGAATGTTTTTACTCTTCTTTTGATCAGTTTAATGCTGCTGTTAATCCTTGCTGTAAAAAATGTATTCTTTCAAAAACAGCAACAAAAATCGTACTGATCTTAAACTAAATAAACTGTGCGATTGCTGATTGAAGACTCTCTGCAAAGACAGAGTGGCATGGAGTCCTATGTCCATACTGACTCCATGCCATTTATAACTCATAAGTCACACACACGTTCACGTCAGTAGTAGGTCACACAGCATGTCCTACAAATGAGTCACTAGCTGAATCTCAACAACACAACATCAGGTCCCATAGCATGATTTCAGATTTTTGAGACTTAATGAAACTAACACAATTAAATGCAGAGCTTTGATATGACTTGTCTGTTTTACCTCTTGCAGGCAGCAGGGGCACCAACAGGAGACACAGCGGAAAGGTCGGATGAGTCGTATGACCTCTCGATCGGTGTTGTCTTTGATCTTCATGTCAAAGCTGCGCAGGGCACCACAGCAGTTGCGTGTGCAGCAGTCATTTTTTTCTTTGGCAGAGTAGATCTTTTGACCGAGGCTGTTCTTGATCTCATACTGGTTGTTGGTCTCAAAGCCAATGATTGCTGTAGAAGACCAAAATGTATATAGCGAAGTTGAAAAATTGTAGCTATCTTTGAGTTAATAGTTTAAACAAAGTAGCAAAAAAGTAATAGTGAATAATTGTCTCAATCTTAAAATAAAGATAACACATAAAACGAATCAGACAAGCACACAAATTACGGAGTAAACAGCTTCAACCACACGCACATAACACAGAAGACTCACCCTCTAACAACTCCACTTTCTGATGAATAAGGATCTGATCAATCTGAAATGAAGAGTATACTAGTCACAAGACATATAAACACACTTAGTAAATGTCAGAGAGAACTGGTGCATTCAACTCTTCCTGGGAAGTTCATATTTACGAGTTGAGTTACAAACATCATATTTTGTAAATGCAACTTAACTAGTTTTATTGCGAAAAAAACAAACAAAAAAACAAGTACAGACAAATTTACTGTCAACTACCATTACATTCAGCACATCTCACAGACTCATCCCCAACTCTGAAACTCCCAAGTTTCCCCAATCATAACCATGACTTTGCAGTAGAATTCATGTGCACTCAACTTGTAAATACAAACTTTCCGACTATCTGAATTTGAATGTACCAAAAGACATGGCCGACCTGAGTGAGGTACTCCAGACCAGGTGGTACTCCAGCAGGAACTGAAACTGGTGCAGGTACAGGTGCTAGAGAAGGTTGCGAGAAAGACCATTAGGCACACCATCATTAGCCTGCATTACCTAACAATACACATGTTGCATTGTTTTTATTGTATTAATGATCATTTGAATGAATGTCATGCATCTTTGGCCTGTGTTGTCACTTTTCTCAAGACCTATTTCTCAATACCTATTGTTTACCATTTACCTACCAGCAATTTTTGTAATTAAGTGTAAATTTAGACATGTATACCTCCATATGGTTGGCCCTGGTGAGATGCTGGACTAACTGGACCAGGCTGATACATGATTGGCTGATCTGGAACTGGCTGGTATCCTGCTTGGAACCCTGCTGGTGGGGTCCCCTGTCCAGGTTCTCCATAACCTCCCATGGGATAGGGGGGCATGGAGTGTCCGCCTAGCTGGGGCATGGGATAAGGAGGCTGGTGTGGAGATGGGTAGCCTGGTATAAAATAATTTAATATGCAAAGGGATACAAATATAATCTTAGTTTACTCTGATGAGACATTAGGCAATGCTGTAAAAATAAATCTGAAGTCATAACATACTGGATCTAGACTTGGCATTTTGTCTAGTTTGTTTAAACTACACAGTTGGTACACATGCAAGTCTGCTACATTTGTGAAAAGACTGAGTTATTATTTGGTTTGTGTGTATTTTTGGATGCTTTGCTTGTTTGGCTCTTTCTAAAAGTCAGAAACTCCACATTTTGTTGTCTTTGAGCCACTCTTTTGTTGATTTCCCCCTGCCTGTATTTTGTTACTTAGCATAAGCCAGCCTCTTTTGAGTCTTAAATTATACACAGATGCCCTGACATGCTGCAGAAAGTCCTGATGACTTGGAATGCATTGTTCAATTCAAGATGTCAATGGAAATCCCACCATCACGCCTCATCATTGGGATATGACCGGGAGTAGGCATGCATAATGAAATGACTGGAACAACTGACTGATTTATTCTCATTTAATTAATAAATACAGACACTCAGAAGTGGGATGGATCTATTTTAGACCGCAGCATACATGTGAGGCATTCCAATGGAAAAAGGTATAAAAAGACCCACCAATAACCGGAAGGGGTTGTAAATAATTCATTGTAACAATATTGACTATTTGCAGCAGTTATCTACAGTATAATAACATCATGAACAATGCGTGCAATTGTATTTCACATCAGCGCTTTACTCTGCAAACAACCAGATATATGAAAATAAAGCATTAACTGAGTGTCAGCAATTACACCAAATATGTAATTTATGGATAACTGGATAATAAACAATTAATTTTATTATATTACAATGTATAATTAATCCATCATATTAATCCATGTCACTTTTTCTGATATTTTTTTTTTTAAAGGTCAAGAGTTTCTCAATTTCTGGGTTAGCAATAGTGGTTGCAAGTATTGCATCCTTAAACTATATAATATTATTATTTAAAAACAATTAATTATTTATTGTTGTACACCAGCATTCAGCTTTGCCATAACAGGAATATATTACATTTTAGGAAACAGAGAAAAAAAATGGTTATTTAAATTCTAACATGTTTTCCACTATGTTGCCGTTTTAATTCATTTTTGCTCAAATAAATGCAGCCTTGGTGAGCATGAGAATCTTTTTTCAAAAAACAACCCCAGAATTTTAAATGGTATTGTACCTCAGGAGTGAAGACAGCAGGTGTAGCTTAGTAAACATGTATTAGTACACGTTTAATCTTCCCATTGAACCAATCCAAAACTGCCATTTTCATATGAAAAGGCTCTTCATATGAGCTATTCAAATCTTTCACCAGCTATTTTGAAAAAAAATAAAAAATAAAATATGGGCATGATTTTGAATTGAATGAAACTCTCTCATCACAAAGGCCTCTACATAATGGGGCTGTTGAGAGAAATCTTCTTCTACTGTCATATAAAACTTCTTTACATTTTCAACATTAAGGGTGAAGTCTATTAAATGTTGTACCTCCACAATCATACAGGCATGATCAGACATTATAATATATCCTATCTAAACAATGAGACCGAAAATGCAAATTAGTGCAAAGAAAAAAAAGTTGTCTATTCAAAACTGACAGACACGAGGTGCAGAAACAACAGTGCCTTTCATTGCCAGCAGAGAAGACCCTGCCGTGCATCAACATGCCTGAGGTCCTCGAAACACACTTGCAGACATTTTACTTTGGGGGGAGAAAGTGGTGTTTAAGTAAAACTAAAATTTAATATGTAGTTAAAATTTCCCCCAAATTCTCCTGACCACTCACACAGGGGAATCACTGAATTAAGAGCATTCATGGCACATTGCTTGCTGTTGAAGTTATGAAGCTTACTGATGAATGGCAAGGGCATTGTTTGGTGACAAGTTTCGGCTACAGTGTTCATTGTGAAACGCTGTATGTTTCATTGTTTTTTTCCCCTTGTGTTTAAAAGGTATTTAAAGTAAAAAAAATAAAATAAAAATCCTTGTGGTTTCATGTTGAATCTAGGCTCTCAATCGTTGCTAATTTGATTCTCAAGACCTGCCACATGGAATTGCATCCCGCTTCCATTATGTTATCTTACTGTTCATGGTCATGTGTCCATGGCTCAAAGCTTTATGTTAAGTGCTGGGGGGGAAAAAAAACTCATTATTCAGACTAGCTAAACGAAAATTTAGTCATGATGCTTGCAGACTGCTATTCCACTCAAATTAAAATGGTTCACAAACATTTTCTAACAACAGTAAATGTTTAGAGTAGTAAATTATAAGAAAATCTGCATAACTTGTGACAAATATGATGCAAGTTCCTAAAAAGGATTTTGAAACAAATCACATGGAAATCTTTCTGGCAGAAATGTATGCATTTTGAAAGCAAACCAGTTTCTGGATAGTAATGCTGAATAATTGTTGACCTTTCCTCATTAAAACCTTTGACATTTACGTCTTGTGATTGTATTTTTTTAACACTCCCATCTTGCCATTCCAGTTTTCCAGTGCTAAACATTGTTTGAGTCATTAACCAGGACAAAGGATGAGAGTGAGACAAGCCCTTTTTTTTTTTCTTGAGTAATGCATTAGATAAATGACTTACATGAACAAGACTGGAAAATAGGGCTGCACAATTAATCGAATTTCTAATCGCAATTACAATTACGGATGCCATAATTACGTAATTGTTCAAAGCAGCAATTAATCGTTCAAAGTCCACTTATGTTATTCTGCATGCTTAAGATGCTTTTTTTTCTTTCTACATGTTATCTTAAGGGTTTTTCCATTGTTTTAATTTTAGTTTAAAATTATAATACCATGCATATTTTTATCTTTTTATTTAAAGAGAAACCAATCCGATGTATAGTTGACATTTGAGGCTTAATACCACAGAAAAGCAATAAAAGTTTTTCAGTTAGTGTTTTCAGCTTATTTTCATATAAAAATATGGCATGCAGTTGCTTCAAACAAAGGTGTAAACAATTCATTTAATCGCAAATTAATAAATCGCAATTACAATTTCAAAGGAATAACCGACAATTATGATTTGTCAATCGTGCAGCCCTACTGGAAAACATAAATCTGTAGTTTCGGTATCAAAATAATTAATGCTGCTAGTCCACTCAACATAAATGGTGTCAGTCTGCTTGGTAAATACTAACCTGAATTCCCCAGCTTGTTACGAAAACAGTTGCTCCAGAGATGAGGGTGTTATTAGTCCTAATGGCATTAAGGAATCACTTGACTGCCAGTTCAGCAGCAAAATGCAGTCCAGTGTGGACTGGACTAGGAATATTTTATAGTAAGAAAGTCTAAAGTGTTAATTATTATCACAATTATCTGCTCTAAAGTACACACACACTGATCTTCTCTTAGAGCTATGACTTGCCCTAAAGAAACCTCATCACTGATTTTCAGATATCATTTTGTATGATCAGATGTGTGGTGTACAAAAAGAAAATTAACAGGTAAAGCTAAAGCCACAGACATTTATATAGAAAAGTGTTTCTCAACCCTGGTCCTGAGCGCCCCCCCAACACTGCACCTTTTGTATGTCTCCCTTATCTGACACCCATTTCAGGTCCTGGGGTTTCTTTTAATGAGCTAATGAGTTGAATCAGGTGTGTTTGATTAGGGAGACACACAACATGTGCAGTGCTGGGGGGCGCCCAGGACCAGGGTTGAGAAACACTGATATAGAACAATAATTCTCAGCTCTTAAAACTGCACAGCCCGTGAAAACCTATAAATGTGGAACACAGCCACTTTGTAGGCTTCACTTCCTGCATTCCTTTCCCCCTGACCTCTACAGAAAATTAAAGTTTCCACCAAAACACACACCTTCACTTCAACAAGCATGAAACTGCTTGCATCACACTTGTATGGAAAACAGTAAATACTGTGTAGATGGTTTTCAGCACAGTGACTAAAACTCACGAGCTGTTTAATGCATTACATGCACTGCAATTCCTAAACTAAACATCCACAAACATGCACTATTGCATTTCAAGGAAAAGAAAAACAGATTATCATTACCTGGGCCAGACATGAAGACAGATCTGAGATTTTCAGAGCCAACGTCTGCCTATCAGCACCACGATCACTATGTGGGTGAAGACAATGTGGGGAAGTTGTGTTTGCGCTGGAAACAAGCAGAACAGGTCCAAAAAGAACTTAAGTTCAGCTTCAAATGAAAAGACCCATGTTTAAATGTCCAGGCAGCATTTTAAAAGACATATAAAGAACTACGCAAATCCAACCGGATATTAAAGGAAGTCTGTCGGCAGGATACGTGCCTGTCGTTTAATTCTCGTTTAGAGGACTGCTCAGTATTTAAAGCGAGAAACATAACAAAATAACACCACGACGTCTTGTCAAGTGGGTGTGGCGACGGTATATTAGGTTGTGTTTATCGTATTTCTTCACAAAGACAACAGCAAATATGGCCAAGGACTCGCGAAGAAAAATTGAAAAATTAAAAAAAAAATAGAAACTGATAAAAAAAAAGTAGCTTTATCTACGTGCTTAATGAACAAAGATTATGTTTATACGAAATAATTACGATGGTCACTTTCTCCGCCGTATACTGCAAAACGGTATTAAACATACTCTATATATCCGAGACTTCGAAAAGGTGGAAGAAATAATCCACCATGAAAATTCTCACTTACATCTCAGCTCTTGAGAGGCAGGTTTGATACTACTCTTCAAACAAGCCTTGGGCAACAAATTCTCCACAGAGCAGTTCTTGTTGCAGTGATTATTCGGATGTATGGAAAGAAGAACGTTTTCAATAATTTTCTTCACGTTTGCTTTACACTTTTGCTTAAAAAGACGCGACAGCGATTAAAGACAGAAAGCGTTTGCACACCACGCCCAGACACGAAGCCTTTCTCTATGAATCTCCTCCCCTTTTATATGACGCATGTAGATTAGAAACCTGAGAAAGTCTCAAGACTTCTATTAAACTACAAGATTAACATTTAAAACAAAATGGGGATGTTATTTATTTATTTTTTTATTTTTTTGCAATGTTCAGTAACGGCAACAAATTCTCCACAGAGCAGTTCTTGTTGCAGTGATTATTCGGATGTATGGAAAGAAGAACGTTTTCAATAATTTTCTTCACGTTTGCTTTACACTTTTGCTTAAAAAGACGCGACAGCGATTAAAGACAGAAAGCGTTTGCACACCACGCCCAGACACGAAGCCTTTCTCTATGAATCTCCTCCCCTTTTATATGACGCATGTAGATTAGAAACCTGAGAAAGTCACAAGACTTCTATTAAACTACAAGATTAACATTTAAAACAAAATGAGGATGTTATTTATTTATTTATTTTTTTGCAATGTTCAGTAACTGTCAAAGTAATGGGAAGTTCGGGGAATTTATGTATTTATTTATTGGTAATTTGTTTTTATTAGCCTAAACCATAGCAGGGCTGTGTACATAGCAGAGTGTAATCTGCTCTGAAATGTCAAAATGTTCATAGGAGTTTTGAGTGAATGGAAAAAGTTGTTCTTAATGCGGTTGGCTTGTCATTGTCGATTAAAAATATAATGATTCACTAAACAAACAGCACCGCTAATATCCTCAAAGTCATGGCTTACTGTTCAAAACATGGTTACTAAATACCACCTTTGATCCTCTTGGCAAGAAGCAGAGGTGTAAAATGACTCAAAAATGTTACTCAAGTGAAAGTATCTGGCCAAAAACATACTTGAGTAAAAGTAAAAATTTTAAATTGTACTCAAGTATTAAAAAAGTAGAAGTAGGCCTACTTTTTCCTGACAGACATACAGAAGTTTGGTTAAAGGGGGAAAACTAAACAAAATGCAATGGCACAGGTCAAACACACATTTATACACATTTATAGTGCAACAACAACAATTAAAATGCAGTACAGCGGAACACACACAAAAAAATACAGGGTAAGGAATTAAAAGGAAACTCCATCCTTTCCACCCTCATGCCATCCCATATATATATATATATATATATATATATACATAGCCTATGACTTTCATTTATCAGATGAACACAAACTAAGAGTTTTAGAAAAACTCATCTCTCTTCGTATAATGTGTATGTGCAGTGTATGGGACATACAAAAATGACATTTCAAAAACTACACAAAGTGAATATGACTCACACGACCCCTGTTAATGAATCAGTGTCTCCTTAAGTGAAATTATAGGCATATGTAAGAAAAATACAAATACTAATATTTTAATATTTCATAATATTTTAAACTTGACTGTCGTGTTCACTTTGTGTAGTTTCTTAGCGTGAAATTATAGGCATATGTAAGAAAAATACAAATACTAATATTTGAATATTTCATAATATTTTAAACTTGACTGTCGTGTTCACTTTGTGTAGTTTCTTAGTGGTCCTGACCCCTTGCATTATACAAACTAAAAATCTGTGCTTGTGAAAAGAAGAAAGAAAGGCATAAACATGGGGTCAGAAAGTCATAAACATCATGTGGGTGAGCAAATGATGAGAGAATATTAATTTTTGGGTGAATTATCCCTTTGAAGAGCAAGATGTGATGCAGAGGCTGTAGAAACATATTCCAGACAGAATACAAGAATGTGTTGAATTAATCAGGGGAGTCATAGAATTAAAACATACAACATTAACGTTTTGAAAGACCACTTTTTTGTGTTGTCTATTCAACGTCACTGCAAGGATAATTAATCTTTTTAATTGTTTATTTGGGGCATTTAGAGTTTTTTCTCAGCAAACATTGATAAATAATTATTTGCGACTAATTAGATTAATTAATGAGCAAATCATGTAATTATTAAGATTGAAAAAATATTAATTGACAGTCCTAATTCCTACTCAGTGTGTCATAATGATGCATTATAAATACAACCACTACCCGGTAAGAACATTACTAAACATGAATTACAATTAATTTAACATGCAATGTTAATTTAAACAATTTTTGGAGATTTGTAACATTTAATTGAAAAAAAAAAGCAATCATTCCCACAAAAAATATTAATTGTATTTAAATTCTCATCACTGATCGTGTGCATTTAGCCAATATGTTACACAGCTAATGGCTCTATTAAAGCAGAAAGAATAATGAATGAATTTTTTGGGGAAAAAATGCAACTTTGCTACCTCAATATGCTTTCTCAGATTTGATGGTGAACTTTTGAAGCCAGACATTTACCTGATGAAAGTCATAACTGAAGTAGAAAAATGTGTGTGCTTGATGCATGAAAACAATGATCATTGGTTTTCACGTCAAGCACGTACATTTGAGCTTCCGTTTACCATATTTAATGTGCATAAGATAAAAAAAATGTAGTGTACTTTTCAAGATGAAATAAAATTGTAAGGAGTAAAAAGTAGGCCTACTGTTTTTTTCTTCAGAAATGTAATCAAGTAAAAGTACAAGTAGTCAGTTTAAATTGCACTTGAAAAAAAGTACAAATCCCCCAAAAATAAAACTTAAGTACAGTAATCAAGTAAAATTACTCAAGTATTTTACACCCCTGGCAAGTAGTGGAAAATTTAGGTTTTGGTAACAAATATTTGCTTTAACACATTTATCTCCGCCGACAGGAGACACAGCTGAGCAGACTCTGAAATATCTTATCCATTCAGACAATAGCTGTTCTTAATTAATTATAATGTTTGTTCCATTATACATACGGTATTTGTAAAACAAAGAATTGTGTACGTCTTATGTGACGCATCTGCCAAGACTCAAGAATAGCATGTGGCCTGTCACATTTCACGGTAAAGTAAAAATAATTAAAACACTATGTAATAATAATTAAAAACTATAAAAACAATAGATTATATTTTACAAACCAAGATAATAAAAACATTTTTTTTGTTATATATAACAAAATGCTATATATTTTGTTATAGCACCACCTTGTGGCCAATTTGTAAAACTAATACCTTTACATACTAAAGCTGCTCTTTACAACTGAAATTACTGCAACCTTTTAATGATTTTAGCAGGTGACATTTGACTATTTATAATAAAAAGCATGCCGAATTTCAACTTTCCTAATAACAAAAGAATGAAGAATGTTCACACCTTTTAATGATTTTAGCAGGTGACATTTGACTATTTATAATAAGAAGCATGCCGAATTTCAACTTTCCTAATAACAAAAGAATGAAGAATGTTCAACAGGGGCGTCACAACTGATGTTCACTGAAGAACAGTTTTCCCTAGCATCCAAATGTAGTTACATTTGAAATTTCTGGTGTCCATACTTTGTGAAATGTGGACTTTGCTTTGAGAATTTCAGCCAGTACAGGTTGTCGCATGTTTCATTGTCTTGTAGCCTACCTGTAAAATTGATGAATCAAAATTATTTTCCTAACTTTTTCAGGAAGGTTTGTAAATGATAAATGGCAAAATTTTGTATGGATTGGACCACTAAAAGCAATTTTGAAAATGTGCACTTTTCAGAACACTCAGTAAGGTGGAAATGTTCCATGATGGAAATGGATATGAACGTTTGATTTGAAAGAAGCCTGCTTAAGGAATCAGTAGAAATATATATTTATTTTAGCCTTTACAATTTCCTAATATATAATAGTTGTCAAAAGAATTGTTTTCATGGTGAAAATACAGCTACTTCAACCCCCAATCAACAACACGCTATTCAACCAAGGCACTCAAAATACAATGCAGAAAACAATGTTAAGAAAGAATTTACAAAACAGAAATTCACTACAAAAGGCTAAACACAGACAGAAATGATCTATCCAGGCATTATACAAACTGTGCAGTAAAACAGCTTGTATGACTCAAAATCTTGAAATCTCTAGCTGCGTTTTCAATTAAGAGACTGAATTTTCCAGAGATATACAATATAGTTTCTATCTGTAATGTCCTGTAACATCTGTGGTTTAGATGTAATGGTAGTTATAATGTTGTGCATTTTGAATTGCCACTTAATAGTAACTAGTTGACTGCATGTAGGCTACTGACTCAATAATGAAAGAAAAGAATTGGCATACACTTTTGACTTGCTCAACATGCATAAGACAAAACCGAGTGCAGTCTGAAAACCAGACAAATTTATTTTGCATTTAATGAATCGCAAATGTAGTGAGCAGCATTGTAGAACCACTGATCCACAGATTTCAAGACACTGGATGAAATTAGAATGCAATTTGCACTCTGCATATTACTCAATATCTTATTGAATCACCATATTAAGCACTGAAAATGAACCACCCGTTATATTATCGGAAACATTT